ACGGCCCCACAAGGCCAAGCCCTTCCCCCCCCCCCCCCCCCCTCCCCCCCCGCAGGCTCCCTGGGCTTCTTCATCTTCCGCTCCCGCACCACCGCCTTCTACTTTGCCAACGACGTGCAGTACGGCGGCGCCAAGTACATCCCCACGGGGCGCGGCTACGCCATCAAGCACAACACCTTCGTCAAGGCGCGGCGGCGGCGGGGGCCGGAGGGCCCGATCCGCCCTGCTGGCCGCAAGCCTGCGCCTGCGGCTGCTGGGCCTCCCGTACCACCGCATCCCAAACCCACTCTACCCCCTGCTTCCCTCCCTCCCTCCCTCTCCTGCCCCCTTCCCGCGCGCCGCAGGTGTACACCAGCTACGCGCGCAGCCATCTGTACTACGCGGCAGAGCTGCTGCTGCTGGCCATCCTGCTGCTGCTCATCGAGACCACGGTGGGCGGTGGGTGGGTGGGCGGCGGGGAGGCCGGGAGGCGGGGATGTGCGCATGTTTTGAGTGTGTTTACAGCCTGTACGTACCCGGCGTGCAAGCTTGCGACACACAGGGCATGGGGCGGCCTGCCCCTGGCGCGGCGCTCCTGCCGCTCTGCTCGCGGCTGGCTGCTCGCCTGCGCGTCCGCAGGTGCCGACGTGCCGCTGCCGTTGGCCGGGCGTGCCGCTGCCCCCTGCCGCCTGCCACCGGCTGCCTGCCTGCCTCCACGCGTGACTCCCCTGCCCCCCTGGCCCCTGCAGAGCTACGCGGGGGTCGCCTGGTCCACGTGGATGGTCTCCATCTCCATCCTCTGGTCCCCCTTCTGGTTCAACCCACAGACCTTCCAGCTGGAGCGGTGCAAGGACGACTTTGAGGCCTGGCTGCTGTGGATGACCGACGTCACAGACACGTCCACCAACACCACCTGGTGGGTGAGGCAAGGCGCCCCGGCCCGCCATGCCCGCCCTGGCTGGCTGGCTGGCTGGCGGGGCTGTGCAGTGGGGTGCGGTCGCGGGCTGGGCGCTGCGGCCGCAGGCTGCGGGTGGCAGCCTGCGCTGGGCAGCCCCCTCCTGCCTGCTGCCGACCGGCGGCACAACATCACCGCCGCCACACTGACACATACGTATGCCACCCCACCCCACCCCCCGGCACCCACTCACCCAGGTTCTCCTGGAACAAGAGCCAGCTGGAGAAGGCGCGCAACGAGGGGCGCACGCAGACCAACCCGCTGGCCACCGCGCTGCGCGGGGTGGTGTCGGGCCTGCCCACCGCCCTGCTGGTGGTCGCCTCCATCACCCGCCTGGACAACACCACCTACAACAAGTGAGGGGGGAGCCAGGGGCTCGGCTGTTTATGCACGTGTGTGTGTGTGTGTGTGTGTGGGGGGGGGGGGGGGGGGGGGGGAAAAAAAA